GTAACCCATGTTCTAATTCACTTTTTCTTTTAACACCCTCCAGTCATAAGATTAGATCTTTAGGGTATAGGATATCATACCTCAAAGTTTAGCTTCGAGATAATGAAAAAACGACGTGTTGTTGATAAAAATCTCATTAGATTCGAATGAAGAGTGCTTCTTAAATAGATCATTTTAAACAAATTAAACTTCGAAATATATTCTCTATCCGCAAGGTCAAAAGATAAGATAGTGTGCATTTGATGAAAGCAAAAAAGAACAAAAAAAAAAAAGTAGAGTAATCAATAGATTAACCTGCCATAATATAATTGGTAGAGAAGTCTTTATTACTAGTTGATTGTTGAGTCCTTTCCAATATTATGGCCAACATCAACATATTATCTTGCAAATCTAATCACTATGCACGTTCTTATAGTGTACGCTACCTAGATGAGATTAAAAATGAAAGACGTGTAAAAGTTTTCTACCGTCTATTCTAATATACTAACATAAAAACTGGATTAAAAGTAATTTCATATACTTTAAATTCCTCAATGAATCCAATAAAATATGAAGAAGAAGCCCTCAAGGGCATGTCGTAGTGATAAAGTAGGAGAGTTTTCTATGAAGTATTGAATGTTCGAATTCCCGCGATAGTTGGAAGGCAACATTTATGTTGGAATGCAGAGGTTCACAGGGAAGAGAACCGCTGAATATCTGACTCAAGTGTATATAAGTTGTGACTGTATCCGGATTAATCCGGGTGGCGAATCAGGAAGGAAGGCCATCACTTCTCACGATTAGTTGGACGAAACTTGGACACATCAATACTTTCAATTACTTGGATATTCCTATAAGATTATACTTTGACAGTGATTTGTAATTTGGAAAAAGAAAAAGCATTTCAGTCTAACTTTTAGACTTTCTGTTGAACCCTATATGGCTTAGTTGGTTTGGACTATCACTCTCAATTTTGTCGATGCATGAGCAGGTCAACATGGGCGGCACAACCCAATTTTGATAACTTGGGACTTCTTCTGTCGGCGTCTGTTTTGATTTGAATACTTTTCTTCTCCCCTCATAAACATCACTTTAACAAAGCTTGCAAGTTTGAGGGACAGATGAAGTAAAAAGAATAAATATATAAAATTAAACTAATGAGTAGCATATCTTTTAATTGAGAGCATAGCAAGGTAATGACATTTGTTACCTAAGAAACATGATTTAAGTTGTAAAAATTGCATTCTTGTAATCTTTTTCAAGAAAATTATCCTTCTCCGACCTTTTGCTCAGATTGTTAGTATCATTTTTTATGCCCTCTCTGGTGGAAACATGAATACAAACGAGGCGAGGAATGCAACACGGTCACCACTAAGAGCATCTCAAATGATGATGTAAAATTGAGTGTAAATTGATATTTTCAAAATCACTTTTGTATCCTCATTTACATCCTGATGAATCTAAATCCAAATTTTGCTTGCATCTCTCCATTGAAGAGGTTTCCGACCACTTTAGAGATTTAAATCTCTATTTTACATCAACATTGAAAATGCTCTAAACAACCGCATAGCCACCTTGTTGGACTTCCACGGCATGGCTGCAAGATTATCGACTGATTAAATCTCTATTTTACATCACCATTGAAAATGCTCTAAACAACCGCATAGCCACCTTGTTGGACTTCCATGACATGGCTGCAGGATTATCGACTGATTGTCTAGACTTTTGAACTGGGTTGCCACAACAATCTTTACCCGAGCATGTACAAGTGTTTGCATTTTCTTCCATTTGTTGGATGAAATGAAATATTCCTAGCTAGAGAGAATTTAGAGAAGTGTTAATGGGGTTTATTGGCAATTACTTTCGAATTAAATACCAGGGCGGGTTCTTATACTTAAAAAATAAAATTACATTTTCATGCTTTTTGAAATTCCAATTCATGTTCTGAAAAGAAACTATGGAGTACTCAGTTAAAACTTTAAAGAATTTTAAGTAATCCCTTGCCTCAAATTTGATTAAGGAATCGACGCCTTTTTTCAGTTAAACAAAAAAGTGGGATTCATAATAATTGGAGTGAACAAGTGCGTGTTAAAGTCACTTTCTGGAAGCTTCCACTATATTTCTATTTTGAAACAAAAATGTGGAGCTTAAAAATGAAATCGTTAAGTGCCCCACTTTTAGTGTTGTTTGTGTTAGTTTATTAGTAAGAAGAGTTCAAGGAGTATAGATTAGAGTCAGCCCAAATTCAAATTCCTAGCCCAATAGAACTTTTAATAAAACTTTATGGAAAATTCCATATCTAAATTCTAAAAGGTTAATTATAACCCAATTTAAACCTAAGAAACAAGTTCTAAAATTTCAAAAATCAGATATTATTAAAATTTATTTATGAAATAATTAATTAAATATATATTTTATTAATTAAATATAATAAAGTCACAATTATATACAATTTGATCACAAATTATCGAATTAATTAGTCACAAATCAAAAATTTTATAGAGCACAAATTATATCACGATCACATAATAAAAAAAAAATTATAGGTCACGATTTATTCGCTGGTCACAAATCAAAAAAATTATAGGTCACAATTTTTTTATCGATCACAAATCAATAAGTCACAATTTATTTAACAGTCACAAATTATCAAATTAATTAGTCAAAAGTTATTTTTCGTCCACAACTTAAAATTATGAGTCATAATCACATTTTTAGGTCATCTATTTATTGATCACAATCAATCAAATAATTGGTCACAAACGCTCCCACCCCACCCCACCGTCCACCATATCACCAATATCACCACCATACACCATCTGAACCCACCCAGCAATCACATCACCATCGCTACAACCACCAACATCATCACCACCGTATCAACCACAATACCACATGAACCCACCACAGCAACCACAACACCATCGCTAGAGCCACCACCACGTCGCTAACAACGCACCATCATCACACCAAATACCACACACAACCACCATGCCCAACCACTGCAGTGTGCCGAGTCGTGGACCATGGAAACTGCCCCACCACACATCCACAACCTCTACAAATCCATCATACCACAACCACAAATCCACCACGTTGCCATGACCTCCACAAAACCACCAAACCACAATTGTGGTGCCGCGCACCCATATACTGCCCTTTGTGAAGACAACTCCAAGAAAAAGAAGCTTAAATGGCGAAGCCTTTGAGATCCACTAGAGAGTTTTTCGGGCGGAAGGACGAGTGGCATAAGCACCCTATGATGACGAATTAGTGGCATCAGGGTACGCTGCTCGATCACAGCGACGGTCATAGTCTGATGTGTGTTGGCGCTTCCGCCCGAGAGAGGATGGAGAAGGGGAGGAAACGGAGAAGATATTTTAGGGTTGAAATTGGGTAGAGTGATGGTTTTGGATTTTTCTAATTTTATTATTAATATTTAAAAAAACTAGTCATAGTCAAACTTGCGTTGCACGTTATTGTGAAATATTTTATAAACATTGTAAAAATGATATTTGAAAATTAGTAAATATAAAAAATAGTTTTAAAAAACTGTTTATGTGAAATAAACTTTTTATACAATTCAATTATTTATTTACGTATATGATAATAATTAACATTAATTTATATATACCCTACTATAATTCAATCAATTAATTCTCCAAGGTTATGCATGTACACTTTATATATTTTGGGGGTTGTTCAATTACTCTAAAAATGCTACAATTCAATCATTTATGTATGTGCATGTATACTAATTAATATTTATTTATGGATATNATATTTATTTTCAAGATTATTCATTTTATCATACATTATTCCATAAGTATATAACTTATTAAATATCATATAATTTGGGAGCTATTCAATTATTATTGGAGTAGATAAATTATTCAAGTTCATGTACACTTATTTAATTTCAATATTATTCATTTAATCTATGATATAACGTCATTTGTCTAAATGTATATAAATTATTCTTTTTCTATATTCATTTATTCAAATTAATTAAATTCCATGTTGGTTCATGTACACCATCTTTGTTTAAATGTATATAAATTATTATTTTTCTATATCTATTAATTCAAATTAATTAAATTTCATGTTGGTTCATGTAAACCCTCTCTGTTTAAATGTATATAAATTATTATTTTTCTATATCTATTAATTCAAATTAATTAAATTATATATTCATGAATCAATTTGATTGTTCTCATACAATTTAATTATTTATTTGCGTGTATGTTTAATAATTAATATTCAATTAATATATTGAAAAATAAAAAGTAAGGTACTATTAAAATAATTAAATTGTAGTAGGGCTAAAATCAACCAGAAAATGATTTTCACTTAATGCGATATTTAATATATTATAGATGTATTATCAATTGATTTTTGAACAAAAAAACTTTAAATCTTAATTTATAATTAGGAACTTAAGAACCAAGGATGACTGTAATTTCCACAAACTTTCTTATTGGATGAATATTCAACGGTCTAATTGAAAAAAAATGATAAATCAACCAATAAAAAGAAACACAGACTTCAATTTTAGTTTATATACAAAACTTTGAACATTTTATTGTTTTTATAAAATATATTTTTTAGTGCATACTGCATCATAATAAACATAATTGGACAATAATGAATAATTTTTCTCTATTATTTAAGGTATCGTTCAACTCACTTTATCAATCTTAAGAAGCCTACGAACAAAATAGGGTCTCAAGAAGTAGAAGAAAGTTATACTAGAGAAAAATAGGGTCTCAAGAAGTAGAACAAAATAGGGTCTCAAGAAGTAGAAGAAAGTTTCTTAGGGGGACTTTTCTAATAGAATCTCCTTTCTTGTTGCAGTATTAGCATCTTTGAAAGCAAGAATTCACCAATTAACTTTTATTAAATAATATGATACGATCGAATGTATTATTGTACAACAAATGTTCGGTTTGTTTGTTAAAATTGACAACGTTTATTTCTAGCATGACTTTTCTCTCAATTCTTATCTTCAAAGTTATACTCCGTTAATATGTTTTAGGTTAAATTATCTAAACTTGATCCAACATTTAATGGAAATATAACACAAATTGAACTTTCGACCAAACCTACACAAAATTTACGTTAAACATGTAACGTGTGTTTAACGACAACTAATACAATTTACGTTAAAAGTGGAAAACTCCCGGAAGAAGATTGGGCTGGGCTTATCCCTTTTATTGACTTGTTTGCACCACATGATCAAACATCATAGGAATGTCTAAAATTCAAAGGTGGTCCTACCAGTGGGCTAAACTAAATTTAGAAGCTTCTGTGGGGAATGTTGGTTCTGTCAAATCAGAAAGAGTATATTATTATCACATAGTGTGGCTTCTCAGTGGAATTCAAGAAATTTTTGGATTGTGCAGAAATTTCTCTAGAACATGGCCAGGTTTGTCCACGGGATTTAATCCAGATTCGTGCATGTAGTGCCTAAAATCATGACATTTTGTTCGTCAAGTCAAATGATTTGAAATGAGATGTCCATTTTCTTGATTTAACTAGACTTATTATTTTCCGAATGAAGACATGCATGTCTCCACATAAATATATGTGAATAACAAAATATTGGACAGTGGTTTTGGTTTTGCATAATTGAGTGGTATTCATTTATTCTTGGGGTCCGTTTGATTGCGAATGTGAAATTTGGGTGAAAAGAAAATGAATTATCGTGAACAGTATCTTAGAGTTTTTTTTTTTAATTTAGTTCTTTACTTCTAATTTTTTCATATGAAAAATGTAAAGTTACATATTTACCATTTAGAAATTGGTCAACAATTGGTCAAACATTTAATTATTGGTCAACTAACGGTCAGACTAACGATTTCTGTCAATCTGGACTTCGGGTGCGAATTAGTTAAAGGTTTGGTACCGTGGGTAGCACGAATGAAAGGTTTGGACAAAGTCTGCAAAAAAGTGAAAGATTTGATACCGTGACTACAAGTTTCCCTGAAGTTTTATTTGGTTAGGGTCTGTCTCCTCATTAAATAATGCCCTTCGATGGAGGGTATTTGTATGTGGGTTTAATATCCAAATCGGTAGCCAAACAAGGCATTGATTAGTTGATTTTATAAGTCCTTACCCTAGGTCCCTAACCAATTATTTTCTTTCTTCCTTCTAACATATTTGATTCCCTCCACAAAATCTACTTATAAATTATAGTTAAGAATACTTATAAGCATGTAATTAGTTTTTTTTTTTTTTTTTT